TATTTTGCTGAGTTTACACACCTATAATATTCAATAACGGAACTTAAAAAAATGGGGTATAACTATGAATGTCCATTGTGTATCTGTGTATTCAAAGTGGTTGGGATAGATATATAGTTGCATTCTCTTAATGAATAGAATGATTTTTTCTAATGGTGTTTGTAAATAGGATCACAAATCTGGATCTTGTACAGCAATTAACCACTAAGAAGAATATATGCAGTGTATTATTTGTTGAAACTGTACTTTCGATTTGATTTGAAACTGTCTCATTGCTATCTGTTTATCAATAAAACTTTGAAAAAAAAAAACAAGCAAACAACTTCTGACATTGCCAGTCATGTGGATAACCCACTACTATTATAGACTACTGAAGTATATTGGATTACTTTGCTGAATTCACTCACCTACAATATATGAATAGCAATGGAATACCTATCTCTGACAAAAGTAAACAAGAAAGGAGGATATAAATGAAGGATCATTTTGTAGTGAAAAATATCTATATATCTATATATCTGTATATACAAAATAATTAGCATAGGTATACAGCCACTTTCTCTTAGTTCAATGAGAAGAAAGTTTTGAACTAATAGTGTTTGGACAAGGTATCATGTCAGCATCTTGTACTATGAATAACTACTACAAAGACAACAATATGCAATGTATTAATTATTGTAACTGTCCTACTAATCTTTTTTAAAAAAGCCTTTTACTTCCTCTCAGATATAATAAATTTTGACTTTTTTATTAAAAATTTCTGTTTTATTATTTTTACATTTATTATTTCAATACAGGGTTTCACTACACAGCTCAGTCTCAGTGATCCTCCTTCTTAGCCTCCCTAGTTCTGGGATTACTGGCATTTGCTACCATGCCCAGTTTCAGTGGCTAGCATGGCACCCTTAGAGGAGGGCCAGCACAGCATGTGGTACCAGGAATTAAACTCAGGTCCTTGCACTGGCCAGGCAGGAGCTTAGACCACTAAGCTATCTCCCCAGCCCCTCAAGTCTGTTATATATCATATATATATATATATATATATATATATATATATATATATATATATATATATATATATATATGCAGAATCACTGAAAACTGTGGTCTTAGTATGGTACTTACTGCAAGGCTGAATTAATTTTTTGTAAGGCTATTAAACAACTGCTTTGCTTCCCTGGCAAGTTCAAGGGCCTGAGTTCAATCTCTGGTTCTGCCAAAATAAAAAAATAAAAAATAAAAAAAAAATAAATATACAACTGCTTGAAAATGCTTATCTTAACAAATCAAGAGAAGTTAAAGTTCTCTAAAACACAATGAAAAGGGCAAACCCCAATTTAAGATCAGTATACATGGAAACAGTATAAGGTATTATTGCTTTTGATTAGAAATAGAGCAGAGAAGTCACTAGAAGCCGTGACTTAGAATAAACCCTATTTCACCGCTGACTTCCACTACACCGTCAGAGTGGTAATACTACTCAAACGAAAATAAACGAAGCTTCTGTGCGTGCTTCCGAGGGACCCCGTCCACCCAGTCTACCGATCCTGTGCCGCTCTCTATCCGCTGAGCCTGACTCCAGGAGCGCTCTACCTACACCAGCACGTGGATTCCCCACACTGCCAGAATTCCCGGCCTCCCCTATGTTCTAGAACTGTATCCTCTCTCTGTTTCTCTCAACTTTACCATGACTACCTTGTCAGAAGATTTTTAAATCAACTTCATTTGTTTAAGATTATGTTCCCAAGAAGGATTAAGACTGTGAGATCCCAGACTGCTAATGAAGAGCGGGCAGGTTTACTGCGGCAAGACCTGCACCTTCCAAGCGACAGATCCATCGGCTCCCGTGGCTCTCTTCTGTTAGGTTTCGAGGGAAGAAGCGGCAGCAAGCCCAGGCTTCCCTTGGTTTTATGGGAAGAGACCCTGCAGCAGCTGGAGAGCAGCGCTGTTTTCTCTGTACTTGGATCGTTTTCAGCAGCACAACCAAGATGCTCCTCTCAGTGAGCCCTGGAGGAGGGGTGTGGCAAGGTTTACTTACACTGAGGTGAGCTTCTGCTTGCAAGAAGAAATTAATAAAAGTGGTCAGTTAGGAGAATATTAAAGTTTTGTGAAAGGAAAATGGTTAATGCCCCCAAAGACTCTGAAGAGACTCAGGAGAGTAATATCTGGGGACATCAGATGTTAGATGCCCGACTTACAGCCAATGACTGGATGAGGACCAATACAAATGTGTTATACTGAGCCATTATTTAAAAAAGAAATTCTTTCCTAATCAAGGGAAGAAATTTAGAAAAGAAAGAAGGGAGAGGATACAGGAATTTTTTAAATCTATTTTAAACTTCTTAAGAAAATTCAATAATAATAAGGATCTTTGTAAATACTGTCAGTACATGTGTACTTATTTGAAAACTATAGTTATATTTACACTTTTGGAAACTTTCCTCGAGGCCATATAATAAACTGTATTTTCCTTTTCAAGAAAGAGATGCTTCAAGTTATTTGAAGCCACTGTGTCTTTGCTTTGATTTCTCAAGAATAGCTCCACTAGGGGACAAAGGCAGTGGCTTGCAGTGTCTAGCACTTTCTTGTGTTAAGTCATGGCTTATCATCATCATCGTCGTCATCGTCATCGTCATCATCATCATCATCGTCATCATTATATTATTAGATTTATAATCATTATTGTGCTCATTTTATCATTTTAAGAAAAGTGGAAGACAATGTTAGGGATGAGATGTTTGATAATTTTCAAAAGGCATCACTGGTAGAGTTTGCCTCAGGAGGAGGCTTTCTCTGTTTTCTGTCAACTGCATTCTCTGTTTTCTTCACTTTTACACTTATTCAGGTGGAGCATCTATCAAATATAATGACTTTTTTTTTCCTTAGCCCATTCACAGTGTTACTACTTTTAGTCTCATTTTCTTTTTCTTTTCTTTTTTCCCCATCATTTCCTCAATCTATTCTTCGGTAATTCCCTCTGAGGCAATGGTATCAAATGCTGAATAGAATGATCAGTGAGATTTATCTTGATTTATTCTTATATCACTTCAATAACTTTGTCTTTTTGTCCCAGAATAAGGAGAAGGAACTCTTAGGACAGCAGCTCCAGGTACAAGAGCAACTCTGAGTCCATGCAGCTGTGACTACCCTCACACTCCACCAACATCACATACAGGAGACGAGTCAGCTACCCAGAAGGCTCACTCTCTTTACAATCAATACCCCAAAGAAAGTTTCAGAAAGAGCCACCTTTCTGAAGGTCCCACAAGAATCCTAGAGAGGATTTATTATTGGCTTAGCTTAGGTCACATGCACACATCCAAGCCAATCAGGACTTAGACTGAAGCATTTGCCAGCTAGAGCTGGGTACCAGAGGTAGGATGATGATGTGGTCAGGTAACTCTTGAAAAAAAGAAAGATGTACAACTGACAAAAAGTCACTTAATGTACCTGTCCTAGTCATTTTCCTTATTGCTGACAGCTCTCAGTTCCCACAAAGTCTCAGGACATGAACAAAATGCAGACAAATTTTCTGCCAGAGGTAACATCCATGGTTTTAAGTACAACTGACAATGGAATTCTTGTTCCCAACTGAAACTTCCTGAGCCCAGTCTTCTTTTACTGTTAGCATTTTTATCAGCATCCTGGTCTTCAAAGCTCCAGCCAGTATCACCTAGCAAGCTCAGGCTGTAGCATTTTCCTGCTCCTCCTCCTCCCCTTCCTCCTCGTCCTCATCCTCCTCTTCCTCTTCCTCCTTTTCATCTTCTCCTTCTCCTTCTCCTCCTCCTCCTCCTCCTTCTCCAACTTCTTCTCCTTCTCCTTCCCTTTCCCCTTCTTCTCCTTCAAAAATTTCTCCTTCCCCTTTTCCTTCCTCCTTCTCCTCCTCCTCCCCTTCTTCACAGTAATTTAAAGTTTATTACATCTACAATAAAGGTTATTCTGATTTTAAGGTAGCATCACATGACATACTTCTGAGTTCATTCTTGAAATCTTTTTTTTTTTTTTTTTTTAATTTAAATGTGGTTGCTTTATTTTGTACCTTCACAATTCATAAGCTTTACAATATATGCTTCCCCCTGTTGATCATCAAGGCTTTATGGAAAGATAATGACAGTTTTATCACAACTAGGTATATGCAAAAGCAATGGATATAATCTACAATCTCTTCAACCAAGAAGAACATTTTGCAAAATACATACTGCTACTCCTGTGGATTACCTACCATCAGGCTTTAAAATACGTTTTTTTAAAAAAAACAAAAAAAAAAAAACCTGACATGCCTAGCACGACAATGCTGAAAGCAATCCTATGAACAACTTCACATGCTGAACGTAACTTAAGGGAAAATAAGAAACAACTACCAGTTGAACCTACGTATAAATATGTGTTAGCAAGACTTTCCTTTGCCTCTGGTAGCTTCTCAGTTTTTATATTTTTAAACTTGTGGCAGCTTGACCAAAGAAACAGAATCCTGGGACTAGAATACGTGTACACATATATACCTTCTCTGTCTTCACACTAAGGAAGACTATCAGAAATAATAATGGGTTTTCATTTGGCTTGTGTTTTATAAAAGATAAGTACTAAAAATGCAAGATGGTCTCACTTACAAAACTTTTGAAAATTTAAACTTTGCCCTAAATTCGTTTCTAAATTTGTGAAGCAGCATAACGCATATTTTGAGGGATACGATCCATTAAAATACACCGCTATTCCCACCTTTACTATAACCTTCCTGTGCTCTGGGACAGCTCTGTAGACAGTGTCGTGAGGTCACTGATAGTAATGGTGAAAGAGTGGAAACGGACAGGAAGAGGAGAAACTGGGTATCAAAATGACAAACAAGATTTTTAATGTCTCCTGTTAACTGATGCCATAAAATGATACATTTTGGCTCAGTGCCCAGGAAACAAAGGAAGCACCCATGGTCCAGCCAGGAGTCCCAAGTGACTGTGACGTGCCAGCGCGGAGAAGCACTACTGCCCCACGCCACTTGGTGAGGCATGGCAGGCTGGGCCAGGTTTGCAGGAACACTTAGGAAAGACTACATGCCTCCCAAGGTCACCGAACACAGCAGTCACGAGGTCACAAAGTACCCTTCCAATATCTGTAAATGATTTCCTGCAATGTGTTCATCCTTCTGAGACAGCATGGGCTTACAAGAACAAAACCCCAGCACTCTTACATATTTAAAGGTTTTCCCCACTTGATCACAGGGGTTTTCTAATATTCCTCACCCTCTGTCTCAAACACATTACCCCTTCAAAAGACATCAGGGTAGTTAAGAGCTTTAGGAGCTAAAGCTAAGTGATCTCCATATGTGTCTTCTCCTAAAAATGGAGAAGAGACATACGGAGATCATTTTCTAAGAAAAGGTTTTATTCTGATGTCTTTCAGATTTTAAGTGCTATGTTATTACTAAGAATTATTCTCAAAGCAAATATCTCCTAAGATACCAAAGTATTCACTTTATTATGATAGTGTACTTCAGCATATTAAAACTTAGGAGGCCTAAGACAAACAGGCAACAAGTTAATAAAAGTCAAAACTCCAAATTCCAACCTGTCACCTGGTACCACCCACTCTGAAAAGTGCAAACACAACTACTGTTCAGGTGGAATGAGCTCCAACCCGAGTGTTACACTCACGTGACCAAGCACATCGCAGGTTAGGCAGCCTGGGCGAGTGAGACAGCCCTGCAACGCTTACACCACAGCCAAGGAGATGGCTCAGGGGCGCAAGCACCTGCCTGGCACGTGCAAGATCCTGAGTTTGATCCCATTACGGGTGGGGCTTAAACAGTAACTGAACATCATTTTGGGGGTGGAAGGTGAATATGGATTAGTAGGTCCTATGTGTAGAGAAAATTCTAATTAAAATATTTTAAACAGACTATGTTAGATGTTTGATACTGAAAACTCATCACTCTTCATGACAAAAATTTCACACATTAAGGATTTACACAATTCAGGGGGGAAAAAATCTAGAAACATTTATTTTTGCCTAACCATTATACTATGTCTTCTAAAAAGGCTCTCCAAAGTCTTGAGAAGTATCATACTCTGCAATGAAATGCTTCAGTTCTTCAACACACCGCTCGCCTATTTCATGTAAATTCTGCCTCAGGGCAAACTGGATAGACTTTTCTAGGGAAGGGTCTTTCTCAATCAGCATCTTCACCACCATCCCGAAAGTTTCACAGTCTTGTCGGTAGATCTGCTCAATCTCTTTGGTTTTCAACGCTATTGCTTTCGTGCGACTGCTGAGCTGACTGTCTTCAAACAATTCTGTGCTGTCGGCTGCACTGGTCTCCGGCTCCTCTGGCTGCTCAGGGAATAACGGAGTTGTAGGTCCCACCTGGAACTCGGGAGCCCCGGGCAGGCTGCTCTCCTCGGACTTCTCCAGCGTCTCCGCAGCCCACTTGCTTGCAGCCTCCGCAAGTTCCTTCTCGGTCAGCCTGCTGGGCTTGTCCAAGGCCTTTGATGAAGGACCTGCTGGAGAACTTGAGGGTGAAGTGTCTCTTGATGTTTTCAAAGACTGGACAGATCTGTCTTTACTTCTGTGCTGAGACTGGTGGAAAGAGTATGGCTTGCTTCGGTCTGGAGAGTAGCTTCTGCTGCTGACACTGGAGCCAGATCTGCTGTGCGGAGAGTCTTTCCGGCCAACAGGTGAGTCTCGGAAAAAGGGAGGGTCCCTTGTATGAGGAGACCGGTCTCTCGCATAATGGGAAGAGTAGAAACTTTTTCTTCTAAAGCCATCTCTCATGTCCCTCTCGGCAAAGGAACGCGCTCTCACCGACTCCGCGGACAGGACCGCCAGCAGCACAGCGCACCGCGGGACCCCGGCTCCCATTCTTGAAATCTTCTGTTGTACTTGTCTCTGTCTGTTTTACAGATCCATGCAATGTCTGGCACTATGGGTTCATCTGGGTGTGGATCACATAGCAGTGAACAAATGAATAAGAGAACTTTAGAAATAAAGTGGAAGATCACTATGATTTTAGAAGACAGAGCAATACTGTCATTACTGTTAATATTTTGGTGATAAATTCTTGTTGTAAATGCAACATTAGGTGGTTTTAAGGGGTAGTCTGGTGGCAGACAGATTACCAAAAAGAATACTGCTCCTTGATATGGGCTGTCATTAGCCCCATAATTCCAGTGGCTTGACAATGGAACATATCATCCCCAACTGGGCCTGCTGAATGGTGCCAGCCAAATCACTAAGTTCCTTACTAATTCTCTTCAGAGCCATGCTGTCCAGGCCCTAGGTGTCCATGTGTGCTCCAGCCCCCATATCTGGCTAGCTCCCAGCTCTCAGTGGCCCAGATGCAGCCCTTTGGAGAAATACAGAACACTCATTGCTCCCCAGGGCTACCGCAGCAGCAGCCAGGATCAAGGGGTAAAGGGATGGGGTGCAGGCCCTGTGTGCAGAGCAGGCCTGGGCCCTGGGCCCACAGCAGTCTAAGGCTTCTTTAGCCAAGCATCTCCAAACTTTTCCAAACTGCTCCACAGAGTCTTCTCACCCACATGGTCAGGTAGATTCTCAGAAATAAGCCAGCTTCTCCAGTAACAAAATCTATCTTCGTTGCTTTCTCCTCAGTTGCACAAAGTACCTGACACACTTTAAAGGAGGAGGAATCTGCTTGGGCTTATGGTTACAGTCCCTGTTATAGCTGTCTTCCAAGGCAGAAATGATACAGAAGCAGGTAAAGACAGAGCAGAGCTGCTCCCATCATGGCAACCGGTAAACAGAGAGAGAAGGAGGAGCCAGTAACAGAGATACACTCTTCTAGGGACTTCCCCTCACCTGCCCTACCACACAACAGCAAGTCAGTTGTAGTGTCCCCACAATCCATTCCCCGTCCAGACATCTGCCTCTGAGCCCAGGAGGCTTTGGAAAGGGGAACATGCCAGAATCAAACCACAACAATACCTTTCAATGAATAGTATATAATCACAATCAACTATGTACCACACATAATCCCTCAAGGGACTAGTCAGTTTCTTGAGAAATCATAGAAACAATTATCCCATTGAAACGTAAACACCAGCCAGTGCATCATTTTTAAGGTGTGACTCATTTTTTTAACTTAAACTGCTAGCATGCTATCTTGCTTAGTTCCAAAAATATAGTAATAAACACCACGCTTTCCAAATTCATTTTAATCAGGTCTGTTTTGAAATAGTTGTTTACTATTTTTGCACAATATAATTAAATATCCTAATGCTATATTTAAGAAATATTAAGGATATGACTTATTCTGATGAGAGTTGGGAAATTCCAAATTGAGAATGTCTACATTCCCTGCTGTTGTAAAAATAAGTTCCCCCAAAGGAGCATAAAATTGGAATGGGAATTAGAGAGTATGGTTCCCCCTTCTGTGAAATATTGTGATACATGCAGAATGCAAAAGGCAAGAGCTCCGGGAGATAAACAGTCTGCTTCAACACTTTCTCCCTTAATAAATCCAGTTGACAAAAACTGAACTTGCTATTAGGATTTGGAAGCTGTTACCTGAGGAATGGCATGCAGAAGAAGGAGGAGAGTTTCAGTGGGAGCTCTTCTTTCCATCTTCCAGGCTACCTGTTCTTTCTCAGTTATTTTACGTCCTCCCACCTATCCGTCACCAAGGAAGAAACCTCGGGATCATCCTTGATTTCTCTGTCTTTCCTCTGTGTATGTTTGTTTTTTGTTTTTGTTTTGTTTCTGTATTTTAGGGAAGGGCCTACAGGGTGTTCAGGGTCTCACTATTAGATTGGACTTGTAGTGATTCTTCTGTTTACAGCCTCCCAAGTGCTGGGATTATAGGTGTGTGCCATCATGCCCACTCTCAACTGCCCTCTCAGTACACTCCAGGGGTGGGACCAGCATGGCAGGCCTGGGGATCAAATCCCTGGCTCCTGCACCTGCTTGTAGGCACTTTAATCCTCTGAGCTATTTGGCCAGCCCATTCCTCTGTGTATCTTTGGCAGTTATATGTTGACATGTGTTCATCCATCCACTGGGCTCTCACTCTGGTGAGGCTTATGTGACATTATACCCTAACTGGCTTATGACAAGGGTCTCCCTCCAATATCTTTGTACTGCAATCTTTGCTACTTATGCTGTCAAACTGACTCCTAAGACGGTGTGCATTTCATTCCCACCACTAACATCTCACCAGTAGGCTTAAAATGCTTCTTCCTGAAAATCAAATATCTGGGCCTTTGTCCTAACATTTTTTTAATGCTCCTCTCGTCAAATGTTTCTGCCTCAACTGAAAGAATTTATCTCCTCTCCTTTATAAAGTACATAAATAACCTACCACAATGCTTAGGACACAAAAGGGGGTATGAAAAGTATTAATTTATTTTGCATGGAGTAAAATAAAGCTATTATGCTTCTAGATCTTTGCCCATGACATTTCTCCTACCTAGTATACCCTCCTTTCTCTTTGCTATTTGTCAAAATCTATTATTTATTTTAAGAATAATCTACCTCTTTCATGAAGACTTTTTAAACTCCAAATATTGCAGCTATTCCCTCCCTGAACTCTTGTAGTAATTGTCTATCTATGGGAATATTTGTCTCCTTCCAGAGAAGACCATTGGGTGTTTTCTCTAACTAGTCTATTTCTTGCAGTAGCATCAATGCTCTGGCATTTTGGTCTTCTGCACACATGGACCAAGGATATTTTCAGCCACAGCAAACCCTCAAACTGAAGACAGCAGCTCTCAGAGTGAAGCTGAAGGATTTTAAGGGAATCTTGAGTACCTATAGACATGGGTGGGGCATGGTTCCCAGATGTCCTGGGGTAGAGACGCGCTAGTAGCTTCTCCAGGCAGCTTCCTGTAGAGTAGATTCAGCCCTTCCTGAGTCTCTGTTGTAGCAGCAGCCTTATCCCCTCAAAGATGTCAATGTCAGTGTCAGCAACTAACTCCCTACTGTCAATAAAGAACTTCTTTACCTTCTAGATTATGGCATAAGGAGTCAAAATGATGAAGCAGCAGTGGATTAGTATGATGTTCTGTGCAATATCAAGACAAGTAAAATCCTCTGGATTATATCCTGCCAAATAGCAGTTAACATAGCCCTGGAGCAAGACTAGGCTTTGATACACCTATGAATCCTAGGTGAATGGAAACTACTTTTGATCCTACTTCTTAAATATAACCTGAAGGGCATATGCATGAAATAACTGTCACATAACTAATGCCCAAGTACAAGTAGCTATGTGGATATGTTGTAGTAGAGACACCATAATGAGCACAGCTGTGACTGAAGCTACTGCTTGGTTAAGTTTAAGATTGGCTGCCATAATTTATCATGATTCACTTACATTTTTCATTGTGTACATAGGTGTATAAAATGCAGAAATCAGTGTAGGAAACTCCAAGCGTACTCTGGATTTATATTTTGAAGCTTGTAATCTTAGCACAGACACTAGTAATGAAAACAAACTTTCAACAGGCAACATGTGGAGACTTGGATCCACTTTTATGGTTTGTTCTGGAGAAACCATCAGTATTGATTCATACAAATATTAGATATCATTAGTAGAAATAAATGTTTTGAGATTTTCTAGGTATACATTGCTAAACTGTTCAAAAGTTAACTGTGTTCAAAGTGGATAACATTGAAAAGGTGAAGAGTTTGGGGCCTCCAGGTGCAAGGTAAGAATCATACAAGCCCACTGTGTAGGAGCAACTGGCCATGTCTGGACCAGGCTGGCTAGAACTTAACCTTAAATGCAGCTAGAATGCAAATCAAATACTGGTGAATATCTTCTGTACTTTGTAATCATTTCTCTGGAGAAGATGAATAGCTAGGGATGGACCTTTCACCTGTGGATTATATCACCCAGGTAAGATTCAGCTTTTAGACAATATAAATATTAGAGACACACTTTACAGGAACTAATACTGTGAGAAGGTAATTATACCAACAAATAATTATTATAACAAGGAGTCATAAAAAGGAGCAGGAGATCCATGGCAGCATTATTTTCACCACAGATTTATCTGCCCAAACAGGTTTAGCTTGAAACTTTATGAATCAGTTCCACACCATAGCAAGGACCCACCCATTTAGAAACAAAACCATCTATTCTGCAAAGTAATTTTCAAGGTGATTAGAACTATGCCAAGAATAAATTGGTTTAGGCCTCAGATTAATAAATGAGCAAAAGAGCTCAAAAAAATATAGCATTCAAATCGGCGTTGCTACTCTCAAGACTTTTGATGGAAAACCCCAACTTCGGTTCCTAACTGAGTACTTTTATTGATGGTGCTGGAGGCTCTCTGGGGTGTTACAGCACATGGGGACTAGCTTGTGGACACAAGTCTGTGTCTACTGCTTCCTGTGTTACATCCTTCACGGTGTCCTTTGAGATTCTCTACAAGGGATCAAATCTCTATAAATTCATTATCAGAGTGGGAAGTTTTCTCTCCAGGCAACTTAGAAATTTTATGTTGCAGCATTATTTAATTTTCCATATCCCATCTTCACTGGTTTCTAATGCAACTAAAGCCATGAACGCTAGTTATAAAACCAAGGTCTCCTGCAGGGCCACAGTCGCCCCTCTACAGGGACGTGTTATTAGGTGCTGTGAGGCAATGCTAGGTATTGTTCTACCACCACTGAACACATCCAACGGTTGCCAAGCTGTAGCAATACGCAGTAAAATGTATGAGTTGAATCTTTCTATTAAAGAAGGATGCGACCATTACACCCGGGGATTGGTACTTTCTGCTCATTAATGTGTCCCACTTCGCCTTTGTTCAGTGTTGCTAGATGTTACTCTTTATTCTGAGGCTAATGCGCAGTGCTTCCACTTCATCT